GCATAATTAGCAAACAATATGTCTATACATATATATATATATATATATATATATGTGTATATATATGTGTGTGTGTGTGTGTGCGTGTGTGTGTGTGTGTGTCAAATATTAAATTGGGTCTCATTTATCTTATTTGTGATACAATATTTGAAAATGAACCTACAAAGCTGTCTTCTGCATAGTTTTGGCAACAGCAGAATCCCCTTGTTAGATTTTATTTAGAGATAAATAATAGACAGATCTTCAAACAGCTTTTTTCAAAATGACATTTGAAGAATTTTAATGATGGAAATAATGGCAGTTTAACAGAAACTGCATGATTTAAATTATCTAAATTACAGTTTATCTTAATAGCAGCCATAAATTATGGCACCCATGCCTTTCTAATGAGCCTCTAAACAATGTCATTGGGAGTCAAAAACTGATTAGTTTCACTAATAAGCTCTATGAACTGAGGTCAAGAATGGGGTGTGATAGGTTCTGAATTTCTGGTGCTTGTATATGTGCATGTGTACAACAAGTTAGAGCTGTATGGCTGACTTCTTACATGATGGAAGTTCTATTGACACAAAGCATTCATAATGCAGCATCCACAGAGTTTTCAATACGGAGTTTTTGGGTGTGTTCGTTTTTATCCTTCTTAATTTATCAACCACAATGAGATGACACACCTTAAACATACATTTGCCTTCTAAAATCAAAAGAGATTTGATAATGGCTTTTTCCCACAAAGCATTTTCATACAATATCCTCAGGACACTTTGTAAGATCCGCCCAATTGGCCCAACGACGGAATCCAACAGCGTGGGCGAAGGTATAATGCGTGTAGATGTTTCACTTGCTCTTCTGCAAAGTTCACTTAATTTATCAGAATTTAGTTTCAATTTTAGTCTAGCTCCATGTTTAATCTGGCTCCAGTTTTTAAGTGATCATTATACTTAGGGGGGATGGAGAGTGGAGAGTGATCTAATACCTTTAAGTCGGTTGCCAATTTCTCACTCATACATAAAAGTGTAGTTTCCTTTTCTAGTCACGCACCTGCAACTTGCTAAGTCAGTGATAGACATAAATCAGGAGGTCCCACATGATGTGCCACATGCTCCATTCACTGGGCCTGCAGTTTGACCTATCCTGCACGCAGATTTGCGGTAATACCAGACTCCACTTAATCTACTAGTAATAATGATTTCAGAAGAGATCAGAATCAAATATAACATTTTATTTGTCAGGTAAAATGTATCATGCCAATTAAATTATTAAACAATTAGAAGCCAATTCAGACTTAAATTCTGTTACAATCCAGATAAATGCATAACATCAATTGCTCAAAGATGAATCTAAGAGTGAGAGATGCATACCTGACAGCCTAGAGACACATAGTAGCATGTGAGAGATTTGGATCCAGAACTCCAGAGAGGTTTTTCTAGTTACACAATCCCCCGATAGTGTTTTGCCAATTCACTTATCTATCCAGACCAGAACAAAGAAATCGTCCAATCAGTTGCAAAAACATAAATGGCCTTTTGGTTTGTCAGGATCCCGTGACCCAAGGGTCACACCTGGTCAGAGATGGGAAAATATTCTCACAGACCCTGAGGGAGACACACCTCTGACAGCAGAACAGAATTCTTCAAAAGGCTTTCAGTCTTTCTCATAATATAAGTGACTGCTGTGAAATTGAGACCATTCTTAAGATATAATAACCACAGTATGTAAGTATAGTAACTTGAGTTCTTGACACTTCTAAGTCAGCTTTCGGTGACCAGAGCCATATGGCCAGGAGGGAAGGAGGGGGCTTAAGGATGGGTGGAGGGACAGTTGCGCAAATGGTTTTCTTTGAGATATTTTCTTCAGGTTAGAAAGTTTATTGTTTTGTTGCAGGGCATCTGTTTTGTGAGAGTTATTATTTCGGGTCTTACAACTCCACAACCACAAATTAATTCATTAATTTATTTCAATTCGCAGTGTTAACAGTTTATTGTGTTGCAATGCATTTTTTAATTAATTAATTAATCCAAATCCACCCTTAATTGGTTATAAAACTATTTTAACACACTTTAACACACTTAACATCCACCATAGGTCAAAGATCCCGGTCAAAGGGGGCAGTAATCATCATAATTAAACTATTTGCAATATTATCCCACATTGCAACACAATGTGGTCCTTTTTATAGTAATTTGTTGTATTAGCATAGTCTGCATTGGTTTCACAGTAAAAAAACAAAAAAACTACAGCATTGTATTGTAAGAAATTGTCTAATATATTGCTGATATTTTACAGTACAAGTAAAATTCAAAGTGAAAGGTGAACAATGGAGCTTGAATCCCCTTTCAACAAATACTGAAACCACTGAAAGTTCTTTGAGAGACTGAAAGTGCAATTTCATGTAAATGGGTCATTATCACATAATGAGGTCTGGGCAGAGAGAAACCAGGATGCACATGCTAAGGATAGTGTTCAAGAGCTCAGTAACAATGTTAACTATAAATTGTACAACACAATATCTAAAACCAGACAGAACCAGAGAGAAAAGATGTATAAGCTGTAAAACAGGATCGTGTCTGTTTTTGGAAGAGTGACAGTTGACTACAAACTATTAAATTACAACAAAAAACTGCACAAAATCACAATGCCAGGCAAGAAAACGACGGATAGCTTAAATGTGTTGTCCTTTATCGTTGTTCGCCCTGTCCAGTATATCTGGATATATACTCATACTGTTTTTTCAGCTTGGTCTGGTACTATTGCTTTGTGAACGAGATCTAGTCATACGGCAGCCATTATTGACTCCATGCCATTTTAAGTGTTGTTACTCTACATTCAAGTAAAATATAATCAACTTTCAGGCCCTTCGAGGAGACCAAAAGAAGAATATACCTGACAGGCACAAAATAGATTTCTCAGGTGAGAAGTATCAAAGCCGGCTCATGCTAAAGCAGATTAGTTACACATGCCAACCCAATAGCTCCTTTTAAACTGCAGCCAAGCATTTGTTATTAACATCTCAGTTTTTGAAGTTAAAACGTTAGGCATACTAATCTCACATGCACCTTGCTTCAGGAACCAGACCTATTCAAATGACTGAAATGCAAAGTAGGGATTTTTGAACAAACATGGATGTCTCACGTGGAGTCACCATAAAGCACAAAAGAAAGCAGCTCAGTTTACAATAGCCTATCACATCCACAAGGTATGGCTATATATGGCTGTCTATTTCTGTGCCACATATACAGGATCTTTTATTGCTAGTTCAAAACATGCATCCAAGCCTCCTTTACCAGTGCAAAAACATCTCATCAGAACTAAAAACAATGACTTGAGCTGTTTCTAATAAGTTTTTTTTTGTTTTTTTTTTGGGCACACTATATTTTAAGGTCCAAATCGCATGATTCCCTAACTATTACTAGTGCTAGTATATTAATAGTTAGTTAGTAAGGTAGTTGTTAAGTTATCATGCAGAATAAGGCATTAATATGTGCTTTATAAGTACTAATAAACAGCCAATATGCCAGTAATATCCATGCCAGTTAATAGTGCTCCTTAAAATAAAGTGTTACCATTTTTTAAAGAAGTTAATATGGAGAAAACTTACATTTTAGAGACAGTCACTTTGTCTATTGTTCATCCACCAATAAAAATAGTTGCAAACGCAGCCAAATCCGAACCCCAACACACAGTAGAAGTGTTTCATTCCTGAATGATTCTGTGTTTTTGAATAAATAGTGTAGGTTGAGTAAATTATTCAGTGACTTATTCATAGTCACTTGTTTTCCTCCACAGTGATTAATTTTTTGATGAATTGCTTAAGTGAATGATTCAATGACTCAGTCATGAGACTTTCACGTGTTTCGTTCTTTGAATGAAAAATTAAGACAATTACTTGCCACCAACTGGCCTAACAATGTAACCTGCAGAAGAGTCACTGAAAAATCCCCATCACTAGCACACAGACTGGTAGTCTGAATACTACAGAGTATCCTACTATAGTAGGTGAAAAACAGTATGTGAAAAAAAGTGATATGTTCAAATAAAACAGCAGGCAGAAAGTTCTACTATTTCTGGCGAGATTCTGAAGTGCACATCTGATCTTTACTATCACATAAGGCCACAGGACAGAAGTTGTGAAGCGATGCAGCTGACAATGTAGGTCATCACATGACAATGACAACATGACGGATGTAGCACGTCAATTCCAGTGCTGCTGGACTCGCAAAAATTCAGGTAACACAACTAACTGTTGTATACACATATAGGCTAGATTTTAATGAACCATTGACATTTTAATAACAACTGCTTTTAATAATAAATCTGCTGTCCATATGATAGTAAATCTGCTGGTCAAATGAGTTTGGCATGACATAAAGGTGAGTACATGATGAGAGAATTATCAGCATTAAAGCAAATTGCTGCAAGTTTATAGCAAATGTACAATAATCGCACAATTCTCAACAGATCCATGGCATCCAAAAGTACATTTGTTACATACATACATTTGTTCTGACTACATTAGTTTGCACCTATTAAAGTAATTTTACGTGGTAGTAATACCCCCTTACGCTAATAACTGCATAGAAAAACTTTCTTTGAGTAGAAAAAAATCAGTTCACACTAACCCTCATGGTTTTATCACTGCTGTCGACACGTTCCTGCAATCTGCCGGTCGCGACCACAGCAGACTGGGCAGTAGAAACCACAGAAACCACTTCTATGCCAGCAGAAGATACCTCTTTCTGCAATCTTCCTTTTCTTAATGCACTATGCTTCTTTTTCTGTAACTTCTTCCTCGTTTTGTCTTTCACTTAACAATTACTGCTACCTGATCTGCCCACGCTGCAAGATTCTGTCTTTTGAAAAATTCCTCTTTTCCAGCCTCTGCCTTGTGCAGATTTGTTTGGAGTTTCCCTGCTCCCGATCAAAACCCTCACCTATGTAAGCAGATACCGCCGCCCATCTCACCTAGATATGTTGCTCCACCCTGCTGCATTCACTTCCTCATTGGGACGGGGCCATATCTTGTGTGTGGTTGAGCAGGATTACAAGTTAATCTGGGTTCAGGGATGCTGTCTGCACAGTTTTTGAAGCAGGAAATGGCTCTCCATTTCCCGGATCTTCTTTCAAGCAGATTTTGGTGGCTATGACTAGTAGTTTATCATTGTAATTATGCTGTACTTTAAGTATTTTAATGAGGACAGCTCATAAAATCGGTTATTAATGTAGATCAGGAATCTCCCGGTTTTTCACAATGAAATAACTGATCATATCATGCTGTTGTGTCATTGCTCATGTTATGTCCGATTCAGTTTGGTTCGGTTCACTTCACTTCAGACCTGAAGTGAAGAAAAACAATATCTCTAAAAGTAAAGTTCATGACTGTAAAATCATATTCACATTTGATTGGATTTAAGTTCACATTTCATTTGGATTGATTCGATTGAATTTGGTTAATTTCACTTCACTCACTTCACTACTGAAAATGCGAAGTTTATGACTGTGAAACCATTTGCACATTTGATTGATTTTGATTTGATTCAATTCAATAAAAAATGTATCTGTCAGTGTAAAGTGTATGACTGTGAAGCCATATTCACATTTGATTTGATTAAATTAGGTTTGACTCATTTTACTTCAATTTCATAAATGCTACCTGACAGAGTAGTTTATAACTGTGAATCCAGATTCACACTTAATTCAGTTCAGTTTAGTATGTTTCCATTTGATTTGATTTGATTCAGTTAGATTCATTAATTTCACTTGTATATGATTAATAATTTCTTCACAGATGGATGATAATGCAATCCTGTTAGGTCTGGTATAAGCTGCACAAACTAACACATTGAGTCTTAGGGTGTTTTCACACCTAGTCCGTTTAACCCTTTCAAACGCTCTCGGAGCGGAGCGTGTATATGTGAACAAACCATGTGATCTCAGACCCCCTAAAAGGACCCAAAAGCAAACCGTACTCAGACCACCTCCGGAGGTGGTCTGAGTACGGTACATTTGTGGGTCCGTTTGTGGTTCGATATCTTCGTGATATGCGAAAGCAATGAGATCCCGGTCCGCTTTGCGTTTCGTTTCGACATGTGTACCTGGAGGCTTGCCATACCTGCAGCCATGTTACGTCACTGCTGTAACAACAGAAAAAACTTTACTAACCGTTCAAATGAAAGCTGAAACGTCACAAGCAGTCCTGTGGCAAGCAGCAGCAGTTGTTGATAGTGTTGGAAGAAAAAAATATTTTTAGTTGCTATCCTTTTCCTCTTCCGTTTTTTTCAGATGCTTTCCTTTAGTTCTGCTTTGTCTGACTCTTTCTCTGTTTGTCATTTGCTTCAAAATGTGCCACATCCATGTGATGACAACATGTGAAGACGCCATCTTGAATACCCAAAATCCACTGCTGCACAGAAAGTTGGGGTCTGAGTTCTTATAAAGTTCTGGTGTGAACCAGAAAGGGTCTGAGATCTCTTCATTGCTGATGAGGACCAAAAAAAGAACTGGGTTCTCTTTTGAGTCCACTAGATTGTGAACACCAAAAGGACTGAGGTCACTTTCGGCTGGTTCTCTTTCTGGTTCACTTTAAGTGAACTGGGTTTGGTTCTTTTAAAATGAACTATATGTGAAAACACCCTTATACTATTTCCTTTTAGAGGTAAAGTTACTCAACATGACTTAAGAATTTGCCTCAAATTCACATTTTACCTCATAATGCCAGAAACTCGATACTCAAATCATGAATTCAACTTCAGAGTCTATAAATAGAAACAATCTCTCACCTCATTTTCTAAACTCACTGGTCAAATCAGTAAACTTTGCAATAGTTCAAAGGTAAACAAACAATAAACCATTATATAATCAAGTGAACCAGATCCATAATCAGTTGACCCTTGTGCTCTGTTATCACTTTTATTTATTTCTATAAAAAGAGAGAGGACTCTAAAGATGTAGAGAAAATGTTATCAGTGAAAGTTATCAGTGGGAGAGTGATCATGTTTCTGTTAAGGGTCAGGTCAGTGTGACCTCTCCTTGATGAGTATGACCCCATGATACTGCTGAACATCTCAGTCTTGCATTAGGTAACTGTGTTTAATGAATTCCAATGACAAGGCCTTTGTTTAACATATAGCCACGACCAGAGATGTTTACCTTGCTAAACATGTTGTTGAGACTTCCATCGTTACAAAGCAAGTTGCTCAGCTACTGTTATGATGCAGAGATACTAAAGTGCCACGTGACTCAGTGACTCACTTTGTTTTTGTATTTCAAATTACTTTAAAACTGAGCATGAATGTGAAAAACAAAGCCAATGAATACGAATAAGGATGTTGCTTAGTTGCTTAAATGTGAAAAATAGGAATAAAAACAGCTTTGGTTGTAAAACTGATGCCATACAGCAGTGCTGGTTAAAGGTTAAAACAATGAGTGAAGTAAATAAAACACTGCACTGTATATTGGATTGAAATTGATTAGTATTTATCAGATCAAGCTGGTTTAGAGGAATAAATCATATTCATAACCTGATATCTGATATACAGAAAAACGTGCTCTTAGCATTACTGGAATATTGTACAATATCAATATAAAAAGAAGTAAATGTCCATAGATCTATTGCATCATTATAGTAAAACCAAATTAAAATAGGTTGTGAATCTCTACTTATTCTTACATAAATAATTATACATAAATCTGTGGAATCAATTATTTCCTGATTGTTTTCTGCTAAATTCTATTTTTAAACTCCCTGTTATGTTAAGCAGAAAACTCTACTCACACCCTGCCTGATACAAATACACACACTTACTTAAAGTCTACAGTAAATGTAACTTCATTAACTTTAATTATTATTATGATGTTGCTATTAATCACAACCCACAGAACAATTACAAGTCCAATTCCCTTAAACATCTTACAACTTAAGCAATGTCAGCTGTTTTACATATTAAATGTGTTTTCTTTTTGGAAAAGTTTATGTCTTACATAATGACAAACATTAACTAACATTTAATATAAATTAATACAAAATAAATAAATAATAAAATAAAAATAAACAACCAATAGAAAAACTAAACAAGACCTTACTGTTTTAAATACAATTCTGATCTGTATTCCAAAAGGATCTGATGTTGATGAAGACTGGCAGGATGTGATAGATCCTATATGTTCCACTCTTTCGTCCTCTGTGTTTATGGAAATGAGTCTTCATGAGGCAAACCCGTTTCAGAACAAACATACATTTCAGAATCAAGCCTCTTTATAACCGACCCTTGCCTCTGTCTTTCCTTTTTCCCACCAATGTCATTGTCCCTATATTCCTGTCATCTTTTTGTTGTAGTGTATCCTACATTCTGTGGAATGAGATAAAAGGAAGTGTTTTTTTTGTTTTTTTTTATCATATCCTGGAATCTCATATGCAGGAAAATGGGCTCAGATTACCGCATTACCAGGATATTACACAAAATTAGTGTGGAATGAAGTATTTGTCTATAGATGTGTTGAATCATTTCAGCAAAACCAAAATAAAATAGGATGTGAATCTCTACTCATCCTTACATAAATAATTATACAGAAGGACACATCTGAGTGTTGTTTCAATCAAAAGATAGGCACTTCATAAGTTGTCAGAAATAATCAGTTATTTTATATAATTTGCATTAAATATTATATTATTATATTACAGTACATTATATCATATCATATCATATCATATCATATCATATTATGTAAAAGTTGAATGTGTCTCATGTTAATCCAAAGTCTCATTATTAGCACAATCTAAACATATTTTTAAATAATTTATAAAATAATGTAATATTTCATGTCCAAACTTGTAGTATCTATTATCACATTAAACAACACATTTTAACTCAATTTAATATTTCAATTATTAATTTATTTTTAAGTAACATTGTAAATAGGCAGGATAACAATCAGTGGGCCATTGTTAGATTTAAGTTATATTATATTATATTATATTATATTATATTATATTATTGTACAAAAATATTAAATCAATCAATCAATCAATCATACAATCAATCAATCATACCTGTTGCATTTCATATTTTGTGCACTGTTTGTACAAAGGCAGATCTTGCCTCCTACCAAAACACAGTTTCAAAAGGCCTCATTTTAGGCAAGTACCGCAAATGTGTAATTTAAGGATATTTTAGGCCTGTAGCCTTGCGAGCGGCACGTGACACTGACAGGTTGTGGTATTTGACTTGATCTCAGTGTTCAAAACATTCTGAGAACTCTGCAATGAGTGCTGCGTTTGTCTGTCTTTCTGCTCTTCTTCTGAACTCTGCAGCTGCTTGTGTGCAGGGCAGCAGCTCCGTTTGCACCAGTTCCACACTTTTTTTTAAAGGGGTCATATGATGCTTTTTTAAAGATCATTATTTTGTGTATTTGGTGTAACAGAATAATCTTAAAGATTCCTAATTGCATCTACTTTCGGAAGGCCAAATAAAGTGCTTTTGCTTTCGCCTAGAAACACACAGCGTCTCTCTGACATGGCTGCTTCAACACTAACTGCCACGCCTTCTTTCTTTGCGTGCACATTTGGGCGGCATTATGCTAATATTTCCACATAGTGAGGTAGATATGTGGGGGCGTGTTAGAACGAGCCGTTTTAGGGGGGCGTGGCAGTCTTAACTTTGATAAAGAATATCTCTTTGGTTTTGAGACTTTAGTCTTTGCAACTTCAGGGATCTTATATATGCACAATCAGCTTGTAACACTTCAAAGAGAAAGGAAAACTTGAAATCGCATCCTATGACCCCTTTAAACAAACAGAAACAGGTGTAAAAGGGGAAATCCCCACATGGGAACAGTCATTTCCTCTTAAATGAAGAGCTTATACTTTGTTATTAATACATTGATCCTCCAACTCATATTACATTTGACTTACTAATCTATTTTATACACGTACAGTACAAAAATGTACCTTACATTACTGCAAACTTATCCAAATATGATTTTTTTTTTGTGACTTTCTTTCTTCCGTGAAACACAGTTTTAAATAATATGATTGTTGTTTTCATGCAATTACAACAAACAGACACTGGAGCTTTCAGACTTCAAAAAAGTACTAATGCAAGTCTTGTGAACACATTTAAATGTTATTCACTGATAATCTTTCGCTCCAGTGAGTTGCTAACCATTGGGACCAGATCACTGAGTCACTAAATTAACCTTAAGAAGTGGATCAGTCAGATTTATGAATGAATCATTCAGACTGGTTTCATGAATTGGATCAACACATCGCTATTGGATCAGAAATCACTACATCACTTATGAAGGTGCCACAGAGAGCTAATATTTGCTTCACAAAAAGCTACTTTACTGCTTCAGCATACAGTACATGGCTCATTTTTTCAGTGACTTTTGTTGTTTAAAGATTGAAAAAAGTCATACCAGTTTGAAGCAACAAGTTGAGTAATGATATAATTTTCTGACAGAAAAAAAAATAATAAATATACCAAAATGTGGAGCATGTATATTGTATTAAAGGCTCCTGTAAGAGGGACCTTTATTATGAAACTGGAGTCGTAATAGTACTACGGTAGAGGGCAGTGTAGTTTGATGAGCTGCCGCTGTTTGCTGGGTTTGTGTGATCTGTCCAAGCTATCAGCTGCAAGGATGATACTTCCAGTTTGTTTGTGGGGATTGTTGCAGATTTAATATCAAAGTGTTAGTCACTGACCACAAAGTAAGTCTATTTTATTTATATTTGTGTTTACAGTGATCGCTACAGTGTTATATGTGTTTGTACCATATGAACATGCCCAGACATGTCCTGTAACGATCGTTCTGTAGTATTCAGATCGGGAATATTACTTAACTTGTGATTATTTATTCTTTATCAATATGTAAATAAGTGTTATGATGTCTTAATGACGTGATGTTGTTCTGTTAAGCTGCTACGATACCAAACGAGCGATTAGCGTTCTGTTTATGCAAATTTTACTCATATGCGCCACGATTCTATCCATATATGGGAGCTTTATGTTCATAGGGACAAATGATCACTCATGACTTGTAGTTTTCTGTGAAATACCTTGTCTCCCTTCATTGAACTGTATGTTCAGTAGAGAAATGTCAATTATGTGAATTATGAATGCTTTGGTTTAATTATGTAACAGTAAATGTTACTATTGTTTATCTATATCTTTAATTTATTCATTTCTTTATTGTACTTATTTTTTCAGACTATCTACATCTTTGATTGTACCTCTGTGACCCTTCCTTTTCTCTACTAATACACCATCGAAAGCTAATCACCTGTGTCCTCATTATTGGTGCTCTGACCAATTATTGGGGGTTTACTCATCCATTACCTGATCAGAACCTAACAGTCCCAAAGTCTCGCCAACAAATTGGTCCTTCGAGCTGGATGAGTATTCCCTTCTGACATGATGGATCCTGATGAGGAGATTGTTGGTGGTGCTCGTCTTAAACGACATACTCGTCCTCCAGCTTACCTACAGCAGTATGAAGTACAGTATACCCGAGGCAGACCTGTCGCTGAGTATGATGTCCCACACCCCTGGGAGGCACCTGTCCACCTGACTCCCCCCCCCATCCTTCCAGCCTTACGCCACTCCCCCTGGTGGTGACCTGGTCTGTTCTGATGGCTAGCAGATCATGTCCTCAAATTATCAGCCTCCACAGCATGCTAAATTCCATCAGCCATCCTTCTGCTCACCTCAAGCGGCTGGTATCATTTCCTCTGCACATGACAGTGAACTACAGCACCTGCGTCATGAGCATGCACAACTAATGCAGACTCATCAGACTTTCCAGGCAGATCTGAGGGAGCTGAGAGAAGTCCGTGCGGAAGTCAGATAATTAGTTCAAGTTGTTCAGTCCCTTCGAGCTGACCTTAGTCAAACCAGAGGTCAGAATCTCTCACCAGCACAGCCACCGGCGTTGCAATTTTCCAGTCCTCCTGTGAGACAGTATGAATCCACACCTTTAGCGGAGGATGGAAATTTTGCTGATCTTCCCCCACCGCCATGGCCTGAGCCTGACGTTGACTTGATGAACCAGGTGGGTGACCTTGCACTCTCCGACATGGGTGCCACTGTTTACCAACCGGTGATGCCAGAGAACAGAAAGTATTCCTTTGTGTTCCCGGCTACTGAAACACACCCTCCTCAGCCTTATGCTCCTGACGCTTGTGGGCTCCCCCCACCTCCTACCCCTAAAGAGCTTCGAGAGTTACTCACATCTGCGGCCATGCCCTTACCTGCTAACCGCACGACCGTGCCTGTTTATCCGCAATTCAGTTCGGTACCTGCTCATTCGAATCCTCCAGCCTTTGCACCAAAGGCAGAGCCCGGCCTACGTCCTGTAGCACCTTATTCTGGGTCTGAATATGTATACAGGGGACCTTCTCCTACGATTCCTAAGTTCTGCCGGCCTGATCCTGGTGAGTTCGCTTGGAATCGGAAAGCTCTGGAGAACCTGCTTCCCCCAGACGGGACTGAACTATTCAAATATCAGATCTTAGTGGATCACCTTAAGCTGGAGGAGGCTAGAATGATAGCGGATGCTAATCTTAACTCACCTACTCCATTCACTGATACGATGTCAGTGCTTCATGATAAGTTCATGATAAATTTGGCCAACCACATCAGCTAGCTTTAAGGAAGATTGCTAGTGTTCTTGAGAGGCCTGACATAAAGCGAGGTGATATCTCAGCCTTCCAGAGGTTTGCTCTCCAGGTGCAGTCACTAGTGCGCCTATTGAGAACCCTGGGACGTGGCGGTGAGCTGGAGCTGAGTTGTGGGTCTCATGTCGCACGCCTCCTGAGTAAGCTACCCCTGAGCAGCAAGCTGAGTTTCGTCGGCATATGTTCCGCCAACCTGGCACAACCCCTAATCTGGTTGATCTTCCAAACTGGCTTCGTTACGAAACTTGGTGTCACAGTTATGATACTGAGCCGATGTCCAAGTTTTTGCATGCTAAATCAGATTCAGGGAAGAGAACCGTGACCATTCTGCATGGAGTTGGAGAATCCCCAGTTGAGACTCCCATCCATCGGAAAGGTCCTGTTTCAGAAACCCCCCTGAGCAGCGAGCTGAGTTTCGTCGGCATATGTTCCGCCAACCTGGCACAACCCCTAATCTGGTTGATCTTTCAAACTGGCTTCGTTACGAAACTTGGTGTCACAGTTATGATACTGAGCCGATGTCCAAGTTTTTGCATGCTAAATCAGATTCAGGGAAGAGAACCGTGACCATTCTGCATGGAGTTGGAGAATCCCCAGTTGAGACTCCCATCCATCGGAAAGGTCCTGTTTCAGAAACCAAACCTGCCAAAGTGAAACGTTATTGTCCTTTCTGTGATAAGACTTAGCATTACCTGAGCCAGTGTGCATCCTTTGCTAAGCTTACCTCAGACCAGGTCAGGACTGGATTTGCAGTAACAACCATTGTTGGCGCTGTGCCAGGGCACACCATGCTGCTCAGTGTGACCTTAAAAAGCCCTGCAACCTCTGCCAGGGCACCCATCTCCGTCCTCTCCATAAGGTGAATGTCAGTCCATCCACAAAGGAGGATTCAGCTAACATGGAGAAGAGCTGCCTGACAAATTCCTCCCCAGATAGGTTCTTTCTGGATAAACCCTCTGTCAAAGGACAAGTTATGCTCAAAGTGGTTCCGGTGAATCTGCATTATGAAGATCGATCCTTGGACACCTTTGCTCTTCTTGATGATGGGTCAGAGAGAACCATTCTGCTCTCCACTGCAGTTAAGGCCTTGGGGATTCAGGGTGTCCCAGAAGATCTTCCATTGCGGACAGTGAGAGATGATATTCAGCTCATTCATGGTTATTCTATTTCCTTTCACATCTCTCCCCTCTGTAAACCTCAGACCAGTTATAAGATCAATCATGCCTTCACGGCTGATCGTCTTAACCTGTCACACCAGTCTTACCCGGTAGAACAGCTACAACAGAAGTACAGACATCTGCGTGGTCTTCCCATCCGTACACTCACTGATGTCCAACCTTTACTTCTCATCGGTTCAGATCAGCCCCATCTCATAACCCCAACAGAGCCTGTTCGATGGGGTGGCCCAGGTGCACCAGCTGCAGTTCACACACACCTAGGATGGACACTCCAGGGTCCTATACCTTCTATGGGGTGTCCCCCTACCACACGGCAATGTCTGCTAACCTCTATGGCTCCAATTCAGGATGAACTCCTTCAGAACGTTCAACGACTGTGGCAGTTGGATACGGTTCCACAGTGGGAGGGCAAAGAGGTAACCCGGTCCAAGCAGGACCAGGAGGCTCTTCAGCTGCTTGACCGTAAGACTCTCACCCTGGAAATGGAGGGAATCAACCGGTTGGCTACACCCCTACTGCGGCGAAAGGACATGCCTTCGTTGAATGCACCTAAAGAATCAGTCCTACCTACCCTTCGCAGTGTGGAGAGGCGTCTGCTGAAGGAGCCTGTAAAAGCTGAGCTCTACAAAGAGGAGATGAGGAAACTCATTGAGACGGGAGCTGTTAGGAAGGTGTCTGATCCTATACCTGATTCACCTGAATGCTGGTACATCCCCCACCATCTCGTGAGTCATAATGGGAAGTTCCGCCTTGTCTTTAACTGCTCCTATCAGTATCATGGACGAAACCTTAATCAGTACCTGCTGCCAGGACCCACCCTCGGGGCCTCATTGTTGGGTGTCCTTATCCGTTTCAGAGAACATCCTGTGGCAGTAAGTGGGGATATTAAGGCGATGTTTCATCAGGTTCGCCTTATACCTGAGGACCGTCCTCTACTCCGTTTCCTTTGGCGGGACCTGAAGATGGATGAGGAACCCAGAATTCTTGAGTGGCAGGTATTACCCTTCGGCACAACCTCTAGTCCGTGTTGTGCTACCTATGCACTACAGCGTCACGTGCGGCAACACCCCCTAACGGATGAGGCAATCCGGTTTTCAGTGGAGAGGTGTTTCTATGTTGATAACTGCCTGCAGAGCCTGCCTACTGCAGATGAAGCTCGGAACTTGATAGATCGACTACGAAATATCCTTTCCGGGGCTGGATTCGAAATTCGCCAGTGGGCCTGCAATGATCCTACTGTGCTGAGTCACCTACCTGCCCACGCCCGTGCTGCAAGTGTGGAGCTGTGGTTGACACAGGAGAAGTCGGACATCCCTGAATCGACGCTGGGTCTGAGCTGGAACTGGCAGACGGACACTTTGTCCTACAAGCACCGACCTGTGATTTATGAGACTCCAACTTTGAGGAACATCTATAAGGTCCTAGCTACCCAGTACGACCCCCTGGGATGGCTTCTACCTTATTCCACTCGGGCAAAAATCATCATTAAGCAGCTGTGGAACAAGCAGAGAGGGTGGGATGACCCCAACCTACCACCCGAGCTCCTCCAGTCCTGGAATGCATGGGAGGAAGAACTCCGATACCTTCCTTGTATCTCCTTTCGCCGGTCTTATGTCCCTCCTGAAGTTGGGATGGATGGAGTTACCCATGAAGTACATATCTTCTCGGATGCCTCGGAGCAGGCATATGGAGCGGTGGCCTACCTCCGGACTACTGACCAGGATGGTCAGACCTACCTGTCCTTCATTCTAGCACGCTCCCGTGTCACTCCTAAACGAGCTCACTCCATTCCAAGACTGGAACTCTGTGGTAGTCTAGTTGCAGCACAGTTGTCTAAGTTACTTGAAAATGAGTTAACCCTACCAATCAAGTCTATTTCCCTGTGGACAGACTCTACTACGGTCCTCCAGTGGTTGAATTCTGAGTCCTGTCGTTACAGAGTCTTTGTGGGGAACAGAATCGCTGAGATCCAGGAGCTGACGGAGAAGTGTTCCTGGCATCATGTAAGTTCTGCGGACAACCCTGCTGATGACCTCACAAAGGGAAGACCTCTCCAATACCTTGCTGCGCCGAACCGATGGTCCCAAGGACCCTCTTTCCTCCTCCAAGATCCCAAAGAATGGCCAGTAATCCCTAAGACTGAAACCAGGGAAGACCAGGTTGAACTACGGAAATCTACCTTCTGTGGGATCAGTACCTTTCCTCCCTCATCTGGTAAGATTGATGGATGGAATTACAACACCTGGCAAGACCTATTGGATGTTACTGCCCAAGAACTTCGAGTCAATTTGGTTCCAGGGACTTCTCCAGAGGCTGAGGATTACCGCCAGGCTGAGGTCCATATCCTCAAACGGGTGCAGCAGGAATCCTTCCCTGAAGATTATAAACTGTTAGAGACTGGGAAGCCAGTTAGGTCCGGGAGTCAATTAGTAACTCTAGCCCCTGAAATGGATCCATCCAGTGGTCTGATAAGGGTGGGAGGTCGTTTGCGGAGAACTGCAGGCATCGAAGACTCCATTTTGCATCCTCTGGTTCTGGATCCTAACCACCCCATCACTGGTTTGATTATTCACCATTATGATGACCAGTTACATCATCCTGGATCGGAACGGTTGTTCGGGGAGATCCGGAGATACTATTGGATTCTCCGAGGCCGCGAAGCGGTCCGCCGGTTTCAACGTGACTGCCCAGAATGTCAACGTTGGAGGGCCCAACCGTCAATCCCTAAGATGTCGGATCTACCTGCTGCGCGCCTTCAGCTCTACAAACCTGCCTTCTATTCTTGTGGAATGGACTGCTTTGGCCCCCTGTTAGTCAAAATTGGAAGACGTACAGAGAAGCGCTGGGGTATTCTTTTTAAATGTATGACCACCCGAGCCGTCCATTTAGACCTACTCCCTAGCATGAGTACCGACTCATTCCTCATGGCTTTAAGAAGATTTGTTGCAAGGAGAGGAACACCAGCCGAAATATGGTCAGATAGAGGTACTAACTTCCGCGGGGGGGAAAGGGAGTTACGGGAAGCTTATGCTGCTTTGGTTCCTGACATACAGGGTCATCTTGCCCGCCAGAGGATCCACTTCCGCTTTAATCCTCCATCGGCCCCCCATTTTGGTGGAGTTTGGGAAAGGGAAGTGAGATCGGTTAAATCTGCCTTATACACAGTTTTGAGTGCACAGTCAGTACCAGAGGAGGTCTTAATGACGGTCTTGCTGGAAGTGGAGGCAATCCTAAACTCAAAACCCTTAGGGTACGTGTCATCAGACGTGGCAGATGCTGACCCAGTAACTCCAAATAGTCTCCTCATGGGGCGGCCCGATGGATCTCTGCCTCAAGTCATTTATCCCGAATCAGAGATGTTAAGTCGCCGGCACTGGAGACATTCCCAGGTCCTAGCGGACCGATTCTGGTCCAGGTTCATACGGGACTACCTCCCTAGCCTCCAAACCCGGCAGAAATGGCAAGCCTCTCCTCCCAACCTGAAGGAGCAGACATTTGTTATGATTGTAGACCCCCAACTACCTCGAAGCTTATGGCCTGTAGGACAAGTGATCAAGACCCACCAAAGCTCAGATGGTCATATCAGGTCAGCTGATGTGTTGATAAAGGGTCAAGTTTATACCCGACCGGTGGCTCGCCTGGTCATCCTGCCGGCCCTTAAGGCCCCAACACTGACTAGTTAAGTCGCCTTTCATGGAAGCAAAGATGCTCTACATCTTTGGGGGCGGCTGTATTAAAGGCTCCTGTAAGAGGGACCTTTATTATGAAACTGGAGTCGTAATAGTACTTCGGTAGAGGGCAGTGTAGTTTGATGAACTGCCGCTGTTTGCAGTGTTTGAGTGATCTGTCCGAGCCGTCAGCTGCAAGGATGATACTTTCACTTTGTTCGTGGGGATTTTTGCAGATTTAATATCAAGGTGGTAGTCACTGACCACAAAGTAAGCCTATAAGGAGGATTCAGCTAACATGGAGAAGAGCTGCCTGACAAATTCCTCCCCAGATAGGTTCTTTCTGGATAAACCCTCTGTCAAAGGACAAGTTATGCTCAAAGTGGTTCCGGTGAATCTGCATTATGAAGATCGATCCTTGGACACCTTTGCTCTTCTTGATGATGGGTCAGAGAGAACCATTCTGCTCTCCACTGCAGTTAAGGCATTGGGGATTCAGGTGTCCCAGAAGATCTTCCATTGAGGACAGTGAGAGATGATATTCAGGTCATTCATGGTTGTTCTGTTTCCTTTCAAATCTCTCCCTTCTGTAAACCTCAGACCAGTTATAAGATCAATCATGCCTTCACGGCTGATCGTCTTATCCTGTCACACCAGTCTTACCCTGTAGAACAGCTACAACAGAAGTACAGACATCTGCATTGTCTTCCCATCCGTACACTCACTGATGTCCAACCTTTACTTCTCATCGGTTCAGATCAGCCCCATCTCATAACCCCGACAGAGCCTGTTCGATGGGGCGGCCCGGGTGCACAAGCTGCAGTTCACACACGCCTAGGATGGACACTCCAGGCTCTTATACCTTCTATGGGGTGTCCCCCTACTGTCAGGAATGAGAAACAAGGATTCAGTTGCGAATGAAATGACAGTTTATTGAAAAGTCCCAAACAGAAAAATGCAAGAGTCCGGTGGAGGAAAGTCATCGGTGACTCTAGGGAGCACAGGGACACAAATGGACAACCGTTGCTCGAGGGTCCGCGAGGCGAAGTCCACGACAGAGGGGAGACGGAATCCCCGGGAACTGGTCAGGAACAGAGAGACACGAACGGAGCACAGCGTCACCATAAAATGATCTGACAACACAGGACAGAAAACACAGACATTAAATAGAATCAGAATCAGAAGTAAAATAGAGTCTGGGTACCTTTGCTCCATTTCAGTTATTTGTTCGGCCAGCTGTTGCATCGCGGCGCTCACGCACGCGTCCGGAGGCACGTACACATTCACGAGAATGAAAGAGGAAAACTCCCGCGGCGAGTAGAAAGGTTTACAGTTTATGATGAGTGCCTCTAAATTAGGACAGCATACCTGTTTCAGCGTTGTTACATCTGAACACCAACGTTCGTTGATGTAGAAACACAATCCACCTCCTCTGGTTTTCCCCGTTAACTCCGTGATGCGGTCCGCTCTGAACAGCTGGTAGCCTGGCAGATGAAGCGCGTTGTCCGGAATGGCTTCACTCAGCCAGGTTTCAGTGAAGCACAGTGCAGCAGAGTTTGAAAAGTCCTTGTTGGTGCGGGTGAGGAGAAGAAGTTCATCCGTTTTGTTAGGAAGGGAACGGACATTCGCAAGATGAATGCTTGGGAGCGCAGTCCGAAAGCCGCGCGCGCGGAGCTTCACCAGGGCGCCGGCGCGTTTCCCTCTTCTGCGTCTGCAGGCGCGTTTGAACAACACAGCTGTACCTCCGACTAGAATGTCCAACAAAACGTCCGAATAATCAAAAACCGGAAAAATATTGTCTGGGATGTGCTGCTTAATGTTAAGGAGTTCGTCTCTGGTAAAACTTATAGAAGAAGAATGACAAAACACAAAACAAACAAACAAAAACAATAGAAGAATCGCGGAGCTCAGCGTCCTGGCTGGAATTTGCGGCACCATCGTGAACTTGAGCACAGCTCTCTGACAGGAAAGAATGGTGACCGTTAACATCACTAAGATCACCAACAGTCATGTCAACAAAGAACACATCCTGTGCGAGTGAAGGAGTAAAATATTGTGGCTCAGGTTACTATCAAAGCCCAGTCATGAGGCAAAACCCTCATGGTGTTAGCGAAATAGGCCCGCTGATCAGCCACAGCTGGCGCTAATCAGCTGATGGCGCTGATCACCGGCAACACAAACCACACCCACACCCACAATTACACGGAGAGAGCTAGAATGAGTCAGTGAGCCCATAAACCATGACAGTACCCCTCCCCCTAGGAGCGCCGCCTGGCGCTCCCAGGTGAACTTACCCGTTGATTGTAATCATCAATAAGGGAGTGGTCCAGAATGTCCCTAGCAGGAACCCAACTTCTCTCCTCCGGACCATATCCTTCCCAGTCTACCAAGTACTGAAATCCGCGTCCCCTCCGTCTCGGATGCGGTTAACCGAATAGGTGGGTTCCCCGTCTACGAGACACGACGGTGGGGGAACCGAGGCAGGCGGATTAATGGGTGAATGAAAACGGGCTTCAATTTGGAGACATGGAACACTCAGTCAAGGATCCTCTTTCCTCCTCCAAGATCCCAAAGAATGGCCAGTAATCCCTAAGACTGAAACCAGGGAGGACCAGGTTGAACTACGGAAATCTACCTTCTGTGGGATCAATACCTTTCCTCCCTCGTCTGGTAAGCTTGATGGTTGGAACTACAACAGCTGGCAAGAACAATTGGATGTTACTGCCCAAGAACTTCAGGCCCACTTGGCTCCAGAGGCTGAGGATTACCGCCAGGCTGAGGTCCATATCCTCAAACGGGTGCAGCAGGAATCCTTACCTGAGGATTATAAACTGTTAGAGACTGGGAAGCCAGTTAGGTCCAGGAGTCGATTAGTTACCCTAGCCCCTGAAATGGATCCATCCAGTGGTCTGATAAGGGTGGGAGGTCGTTTGCGGAGAACTGCAGGCATCACGGACTCCATTTTACATCCTCTGGTTTTGGATCCTAACCACCCTGTCACTCGTTTGATTATTCATCATTATGATGACCAGTTACATCATCCTGGATCGGAACGGTTGTTTGGGGAAATACGGAGATACTATTGGATTCTCCAAGGCTGCGAAGCTGTCCGCAGGTTTCAACGCAACTGCCTTAGAATGTCAACATTGGAGGGCCCAACCGACAATCCCTAAGATGTCGGATCTACCTGCTGCATGCCTTCAGCTCTACAAACCTGCCTTCTATTATTGTGGAATGGACTGCTTTGGCCCACTGTTAGTCAAAATTGGAAGATGTACAGAGAAGCGCTGGGGTATTCTCTTTAAATGTCTGACCACCCAAGCCGTCCATTTAGACCTACTCCCTAGCATGAGTACCGACTCATTCCTCATGGCTTTAAGAAGGTTTGTTGCGAGGAGAGGAACGCCAGCAGAAATATGGTTAGATCGAGGTACGAACTTCCGTGGGGGTGAAAGGGAGTTACGGGAAGCTTATGTTGCTTTGGTTCCTAACATACAGGGTCATCTTGCCCGCCAGAGGATCCACTTCCGCTTTAATCCTCCATCGGCCCCCCATTTTGGTGGAGTTTGGGAGAGGGTAGTGAGATCGGTTAAATCTGCTGTCACAATCTGTGATGGCGAGGAACGATGGAGACGTGGAATAAACTGAACAGTCTTTAATCCATGGAACACAGGGTACATCAACACTGGAGCAGCATGAAACACATCGACGTAACGAGTAGAACTGACCGAGACAGACTGCACAGACTAATGAACACGGGAACAGGATGGCGCTCAGGAGGAGCGGACACTTGAGGGTGCTTACGAGGAGCTGGCACTGGAGGGCGCTTTCTAGGAGCGGGCACTGGAGGGCGCTCTGGACTGTATTCGGGCACTGGAGCCCTCTCCTCTTCGCTTTGGCACTTTCACCGCACCATACTCAGCTCACTCTCAGCCGCGGTGCAGGCGGCAGAGCTCCTCTCCGCGTTCACACCGTCCGCGGCGTTCTCCCTCGTGGTGGGCACTGTCGCCAGCTCTCACACCTGGTCTGATGGCTTGGGCTCTACTTCCGGGGCGATACTCCGCTCAGTCTCTCGGCATTGCGCTGGCTCGTAGATCGCGGCGGGAATTGGCTCTCCGTCATCGGTGGACTCGGGCTTTAGCTCCGCACAGCCGGGAGATGGAGGGCTGGGCTCTGGGTCCGGAGTGGATCTGGCGAGATCATCCTCGGGAGTGATGGTGAGAGGCGATCCGTTTCTCACCAGAATCCACTCCACAAACGCGGTGAAATCCGCTCAAGGATCATCTTCGGACGACGGCCCTCTGCACTCGATGTTTAGACTGGCATCGTAGAATGCACAGAGCGCGTTGTCCGGGTAGCTGGTGGTGCTTGCTAGCAGCTGGAACAGTCTTGTATAGTCCTCGAGCGATCTCTCCCCCTGCTCCAGCAGGAGGAGGAGAAATTCCGGGCGAAGGAGGGCATCCATGAGGGAAACACAACGGAAACAAAAACACTGAGAAAAACGAGAAAACAAACGGAGGGGAAAACACGGAGGTAACTGTTATTGGTTGGTTCTTCTGTCACAATGTGATGGCGAGGAACGATGGAGACGAGGAATAAACGAAACAGTCTTTAATCTATGGAACACAGGGTACATCAACACTGGAGACAGCAGGAAACACATCAACGTAGCGAGTAGAACCGACCGAGACAGACTGCACAGACTAGGACTTAAATAGACTTAAATTGGGGAAACACAGGTGTATGGGATGACTAATCAACTAATTAACAAAACGAGGACAGGAACATGACCAAATAAGGGAACAGAAACAGGGGCAAAACATGACACAGACAGTCCATGATCCTGACATCTGCCTTATACACAGTTTTGAGTGCACAGTCAGTTCCAGAGGAGGTCTTAATGACGTCTTTCTGGAAGTGGAGGCCTTCCTAAACTCAAAACCCTTAGGGTACGTGTCATCAGATGTGGCAGATGCTGACCTAGTAATTCCAAACAGTCTCCTCATGGGGCGGCCCGATGGATCTCTGCCTCAAGTCGTTTATCCCGAACCAGAGATGTTGAGTCGCCGGCACTGGAGACATTCCCAGGTCCTAGCGGACCGATTCTGGTCCAGGTTCATACGGGACTACCTCCCTAGCCTCCAAACCCGGCAGAAATGGCAAGCCTCTCCTCCCAACCTGAAGGAGCAGACATTTGTTATGATTGTAGACCCCCAACTACCTCGAAGCTTATGGCCTGTAGGACAAGTGATCAAGACCCACCAAAGCTCAGATGGTCATATCAGGTCAGCTGATGTGTTGATAAAGGGTCAAGTTTATACCCGACCGGTGGCTCGCCTGGTCATCCTGCCGGCCCTTAAGGCCCCAACACTGACTAGTTAAGTCGCCTTTCATGGAAGCAAAGATGCTCTACATCTTTGGGGGCGGCTGTATTAAAGGCTCCTGTAAGAGGGACCTTTATTATGAAACTGGAGTCGTAATAGTACTTCGGTAGAGGGCAGTGTAGTTTGATGAACTGCCGCTGTTTGCAGTGTTTGAGTGATCTGTCCGAGCCGTCAGCTGCAAGGATGATACTTTCACTTTGTTCGTGGGGATTTTTGCAGATTTAATATCAAGGTGGTAGTCACTGACCACAAAGTAAGCCTATTTTATTTATATTTGTGTTTACAGTGATCGCTACAGTGTTATATGTACCATATGAACATGCCCAGACATGTCCTGTAACGATCGTTCTGTAGCATCCAGATCGGGAATATTACTTAAAACAGTCTTTAATCCATGGAACACAGGGTACATCAACACTGGAGACAGCAGGAAACACATCAACGTAGCGAGTAGAACCGACCGAGACAGACTGCACAGACTAGGACTTAAATAGACTTAAATTGGGGAAACACAGGTGTATGGGATGACTAATCAACTAATTAACAAAACGAGGACAGGAACATGACCAAATAAGGGAACAGAAACAGGGGCAAAACATGACACAGACAGTCCATGATCCTGACATCTGCCTTATACACAGTTTTGAGTGCACAGTCAGTTCCAGAGGAGGTCTTAATGACGTCTTTCTGGAAGTGGAGGCCTTCCTAAACTCAAAACCCTTAGGGTACGTGTCATCAGATGTGGCAGATGCTGACCTAGTAATTCCAAACAGTCTCCTCATGGGGCGGCCCGATGGATCTCTGCCTCAAGTCGTTTATCCCGAACCAGAGATGTTGAGTCGCCGGCACTGGAGACATTCCCAGGTCCTAGCGGACCGATTCTGGTCCAGGTTCATACGGGACTCCCTCCCTAGCCTCCAAACCCGGCAGAAATGGCAAGCCTCTCCTCCCAAACTGAAGGAGCAGACATTTGTTATGATTGTAGACCCCCAACTACCTCAAAGCTTATGGCCTGTAGGACGAGTGATCAAGACCCACCAAAGCCCAGATGGTCATATCAGGTCAGCTGATGTGTTGATAAACGGTCAAGTTTATACCCGACCGGTAGCTCGCCTGGTCATCCTGCCGGCCTTACCAAAGGATGGACTTAAGGCCCCAACACTGACTAGTTAAGTCGCCTTTCATGGAAGCAAAGATGCTCCACATCTTTGGGGGCGGCTGTATTAAAGGCTCCTGTAAAAGGGACCTTTATTATGAAACTGGAGTCGTAATAGTACTACGGTAGAGGGCAGTGTAGTTTGATGAGCTGCCGCTGTTTGCTGGGTTTGTGTGATCTGTCCGAGCTATCGGCTGCAAGGATGATACTTTCAGTTTGTCCGTGGAGATTGTTGCAGATTTAATATCAAGGTGTCAGTCACTGACCACAAAGTAAGTCTATTTTATTTATATTTGTGTTTACAGTGATCGCTACAGTGTTATATGCGTTTGTACCATATGAACATGCCCAGACATGTCCTGTAACGATCGTTCTGTAGTATTCAGATCGGGAATATTACTTAACTTGTGATTATGTATTCTTTATCAAGATGTAAATCAGTGTTATGATGTCTTAATGATGTGATGTTGTTCTGTTAAGCTGCTACGATACCAAACGAGCGATTAGCGTTCTGTTTATGCAAATGTTATTTATATGCGCCACGATTCTATCCATATATGGGAGCTTTATGTTCATAGGGACAAATGATCACTCATGACTTGTAGTTTTCGATGAAATACCTTGTCTCCCTTCATTTAACGGTATGTTCAGTAGAGAAATGCCAATTATGTGAATTATGAATGCTTTGGTTTCATTATGAAACAGTAAATGTTACTATTGTTTATCTATATCTTTAATTTATTCATTTATTTATTGTACTTATTTTTGCAGACTATCTACACCTTTGATTGTACCTGACTTGTAGTTTTCGATGAAATACCTTGTCTCCCTTCATTTAACGGTATGTTCAGTAGAGAAATGCCAATTATGTGAATTATGAATGCTTTGGTTTCACTATGTAACCGTAAATATTACTATTGTTTATCTATATCTTTAGCTTATTCATTTCTTTATTGTACTTATTTTGCAGACTATCTACACCTTTGATTGTACCTCTGTGGCCCTTCCTTTTCTCTACTAATAGACCATCGAAAGCTAATAACCTGTCTCCTCATTATTGGTGCTCTGTCCGGCACCCAGGGGGGTTTACTCATCCATTACCTGATCAGAACCTAACAGTCCCAAAGTCTCTCCAACTTATATATCTAGAAACTGAACAAATATGACTACATGTTCCAGATTTGTTTAAGTCATGCTAAAGATAAATTCCCCTACAAGGAAAACAATAAATTAGTCTCTGGAGCATTCGTCATGTTCAGTTGGTTTCACTTTACAAATAATACAAATAATACTCTCATCTGAAGCAAAAAAATATATAAAATCTGTAACGTAGTTATATTTCTAGAAAAAAAAACTACAGTGCCTAAACTAATATAACTACATGTTCCAGAACTAACTAACTAACTAACTAGCAAATAATACTCTCAACTGAAGCCTTGGGCTTGAACATGGTGGGAAAAACGCTTAACACTTTCTCTTTCACAAGGCTGAACTTTATCTCTCTGGTTTTGAATTTCCTTCCTTATGTTTCCCGTTCTGTCTTACACAAGCCCCTGTTGAATTAAAGGGTATTTTATTGCATTCCGAGAGAGGAAGTCCATGAAGAGATGACGAGACTTTTCACTCTCCACTATAGAAAAGCACTTGTGTTTTAATGTCCACCAACCATGTTGCCCACCAGCCTCCTGTATTTCATCTGTTGAACAGCAGAGGGCAATACGAAACACATGCTTTTATAAAGAATATCTCTTTGGATTTGAGACTTTAGTCTTTGCAACTTTACAGATCTTCTTTATGCACCAAGAGCTTGTAACACTCTAAAGAGAAAGGAAAAAATGAAATCGCATCATATGACCCCTTTAAAACCGATCCACCCCCACAAAGTCTGCACAGTAATGAATGAGAATGCAAAACCTCATTTCATCTGATTCATATCCAGACAGGTGACATTAAACTAGATGACAAATGTAGGTGTATATAAGAAGGCCGAGTGAAGACATGCTGTGGCATTCTTCGCATTTACCAGAACAGAACATTTATTTCAACTGAAAACATTCTAACCATTTGTCCTTAAATAACCTCAAATGAAAAAGGAAATGTAGCCTCAGTCTTGGCATGACTGAAAGAAATGTCGTCATCACTAAAACAAACTAGCCAATAAGCTCAAGTCATAATAGCCAGGTGAAAATGCGAGGCACCAATGTAAAAGGGTGGGCCTTTTACAAGATATCAAAAAAAAAAGAAAAAAAAAAGAGAATGAAGACGGACCAGTTTAGAAAATGTCAGCTTTACCCGGTCCACAGATGCATACAAGGCTAGTTAGCAGCATAGAAAGTTAGCACTGTAGAGAAAGACTTGGAAAATACTTATTTCTGTATGTAAAAACGAATATCTATCTCTTCTTCTGAGCACATTGTAAAAAAGTACAGCTGCTCACAGAAAAAAGGCATCATGGGTAAGAAACACATTTTCTCAGGGTGTGGCTATTGCTGTTCACAAACAAGCTTATTGTAGCAGCTGAATGAATAAATGTGAATATATTGAATGTGTTTTTTGTCAACATTAATAAATTTAAAATGTTCAGAGACATGTTAGTGTTGTGTCAATGTATTTTGTGCATCCGTTCAACTTTTAACATTGCATAATACATGTATTCATTATATAGATTTGAGCAATTAGCACTTAGCATTCATAACTAGCAATCGTTGTGATTAATAGTGTGTTCTATCTAGTAAATATGTGTGCGGTTTTTTTGGGGGATTTTTTTGTCAAACTCTTAAGTTGGGACAATAAAATCACAGACTTCCTGCACTTGACTGTGGTGATGTCACATAAAAAAACAACCAAAATGGCAGCAGTCAGTAACAAGTAGCATTATATAGCTACTGATTACTGTTTGATATGTCATTCTTTTAAAACCCATGTTATACATGGTGTGCTTTCCTTGTTCTTTAATAGCCGATATTTCAAGAGCACAAAAAGGAGAATTAATGGAGTGACTACCCTGCTGAAAAAAACCAGCATACGCTGGTTTTTTCAACAGGGTAAGTATTTTTATTTATTTATTGTAGTCAACAACCACAACAAAACTTCACATGGATCATTTTTGATGATATGAGAGAGTCTAATGCTGTGTACCAGTTTGCTTATACTTAAATATAAGTATGTACTCTTTTTGTGAAGAAAAAGTGCATACTTTTGAGTGTGTAAAAGAGTAGGCACGTTTTAGGACATACTACTGTCATAATTGGGTTTTTAATGGACCATGCTGTTGCATAGTTACATGCATCCTGTCACAGTAAACTGGCCAGTCCATCATTTTGTCATGGTTAACATCCTTATATACACACACTCAACAAGTTGATGTAGTTTAATTTAGCTAGTTAACAATGTGTTTAATTGTGTTTAATTTAAAAAAAAAAAAAAACTGTGATTTTGCTTTGTAATGTAATGGTGTGCTGTAGTTTATACACATATTTTGAGCTGATTATGTGATGGCATCTTCCAGATAGCTCCACATCAGTGTCAGTTGGGATAGCCGTGGCGTTTGGGATCTTGGGATTGTTCGTGCTTCTCTGTTTGGTGCAGATCTGCATCAAGAAAATCAAATGTTGCAACCGCAAAAGTAAGCAGCATCCTCATTCCTGACTAACAAACCAGTATTTATCAAAGTCCTTGAACTAATGTACAACAATGCAAGTAAACAGTGAGGAAATTATTATTGTTTTCTTTTCTTTGACAGATCCTTCGGTGAAAGACAAAATTTTAACGTAAGATCACTTATTAATATTTGTTAGTTTATTTTTATTTTTGTTTGTGTTTATGTGTGGAATAATTTTATTGTTGTGTTTTGTATTTACTTATTTAAATTGTGTGTTTCTTAACAGGAAAGTTGGGATTAAGAAATCTTCACCTCCATTTTCAATCAGCAGAATTGTTGACAAGAAATAACGGCCGTCACTGCTCCTACGTCATTCTCACTGCCTATAAATAGTGTACATACACCCTGACAGAATCTAATTTAGTCCATGTTTTCATTATTTACAACGCTTGTAACTGTAATTATTTCCATATTATTATGAAATCTGTCAATTTATTTATTGTTCTTTATTTCTGTGAAAAGTGTGATTCACATTTCTGAGGTGAAGGTGTTAGTGATGCGGTTGTTGATGATTCATATATGGTAAAAAAATAATTTTCCCACTGCTAGGGAAAAACAGCACACCTTTATTGCTTTTTGCGATCGCTTCTCTTGTTGTTTTTCTCATTTTCTGACATTCTCTGAATTTTGTCACCGTACCAGTCTCACCACAAAAACATGGCGATGCCTTCTTCTCAAGCCAAACTGTTTCCACATAAAATGACATCAAAGGTCATCGTATACCCTGATGAAATATTAATCTCTTCAGTCGTAGTAGAAAGATCACAACATCGTAAGAACATTGTGATTTACAAGGAAGTCCTCTCGGGTGATATATTTCCTGTTAAGCAATATTATGTGTGTGATGAAATATGGATCTTGACTCACATATCACAATTTCTAATTTCAAAGGAAAATATGGTCATATTTGATCATTTTTGGTCAGATTTATTAGTCTAGTATATTATCCTCTATGTGTATGTGTGTGTGTGTGTGTTGATCTTCAAACTTTTTTTGTTATTTTTCAATTCAACTTTTCACTCAAATTGTACCGTATAGCTATTCAATTTATAAAATGCAAAATAGAAGCATTTTGGAACCCAGTAAAACTTTTTGTTGTGGTTGCTGTTCTTCTTTGGTGATCATTGTATTTTTTTTTTTGTTGGGTTTTTTTTTGTTTTGTTTTTTTTATTCAGTTTATGACAGTATCTCATAGCAGCGCACTAAACCGCAAGCCCGCAAGCCAGCTTTATTAGCTGTTCAACTGATGCAGCTCATGCAAACGTCTGTAGAGGCTACTTCTTTTCTGAGCTTGCATGCAACAAGCAAAGCATTGCGGTGGTCTGTAGGAAGTGAGAGACAGCATAACATTTGAGGTTCAACAGCCTGTTCACCTCAATGACTTTTGTGAGACAAGGCCTGTCAGAAACATCTGCTGGTCATGCATTGGTCGTTGACTTCCATAGTATGGGAGGAAAAAAAAAACACTATGCGAGTCAATGTGGACCAGCAACTGAAGGTGAACTATCCCTTTAAAGGAGCACCTAAAAATAAAAATATAAAATCATTATTGTCATTATATACTCCCGTCATGATGTTCAAAAACGATATGCTGTTAATTTTCAGTTGACACAAAGAGACATTTTAAGTATCTTTACACTGATGTTTTCCATGCAGTGACACTTCATGGTGAAAACACCACCATATTCATATTTACTGATAGTCTCTATGTTGGCCAGTTTCCCCCTCAGAGTAAGAAAAAATTCCAATTGCAACTTTATTTCTTGCAATTGTGGCTTTATATATCCCAATGCTAATTTAACTCACATTCAAGACTTTATGTCTCATAACTGTAAATATTTTTAACTTTATATCTCACTTTATCTTGCAGTCGTCCACAGGAATCTCGCTCATATGGCTTCGAAAGGCTAATCTTATGCTGTCATATGGCACAGAGAACTACTGAACTACTGTAATGATCATGTATGGTGCTTTTGGTCATTTTTGCAGCTTAAAAGCTGTGGTTCATCATAAATTCTCTGTTAAACCACTAGATGGCAAGGAAGAAAAGAGCGTATCAAGGGACACAACATGAATACTCCTGTCTTCTGACCATATATTGAGGTCTTATGAAGCAAAACGATTGGTCTGTGCAAGAACTGTTTACTGATTGTAAACAGTATGTACAATCGTGTGAATTAATTATTCTTTCGAGTCGATTATTTTCGATAAATTGAAACGGATTTGCAAACTTTTCTGAATGATTCAGTTTGATTCACAGGACTGCGCTGTCTCACTGAATCATTTGGAGTGGTTTCTCAGTCAGTAAACAGTAGCGTGAAACTATGGCTGTGCCACGTGAATAAGGCACCATTCACAGCAAAAGTGTGTTTAATATGACAGTATCTTGCCTATAGACCCCCCCCTTAAAGCTTGTGCTACTCCTATGTCCTACATCATCCACTGGAACGCCACTCTCTTGTGAACGCACATACGACTCTTAGCGGAAGCTAGAGATTATGGTTTATATAGTTTTAAATATGGATATTTTTTCTCAGACAAATGCCTCGATTCACCTCAGAAGGCCTTTATTAACCCCCCGGAGCTATGTGGAACACTTTTTAATGATGGATTTATGCACTTTATTTTGCTTCAAAATCTTGACCACTATTCACTGCCATTATAAAGCTTGAAAGAGCCGGGACATTTTTTTTTATATATATAAATCTGCTTGTATTTGTCTGAAAGAAGAAAGTTATATACACCTGGGATAGCTTGAGGATGAGTAATGCTACGCTCAAGCCATATCGTAATTACCGTAATTTCGAGATGACAGCACGTGACGTTCTACTCAGAGCTGTTCACGTCCTTGGACTCGGAATTATGCTTTTCTATGGCAACACTACCAATGCCTAAACAGAGCCTGCGGTGCTCAGGTGGTACAGCGGTCACGGGGTGCAAGTCGTAGCTTTCAGAAAACTCCCAGTTCACAAGTTGTAATTACGAGTTCTACAAGGACATGAATGGTTTTTACAAGTTGGAATCTCGTAATTACCTTTAAGGGTACAATTAATTAATTGGCCAGGTTTCTTATGTATCTTCAGATGAAATTTGCAGTCGCCCCAACCAGCATATAAATTATTTGCACTTAATAATTGGGTTAAATAGATGATGGCCTGATGAAAGTTCTAATAAATTGTGGGAATGCTATTGTGATGTTTAAGCTTTAGGCAGTTGCGTTCTACAGTTAACTTAATATGGTCAATTGATTCTTTTTGTGAGCAGTCTGAGACCTACAGAGCTACTGAGAAACTACAACAAAAAAAAACACATTCCTCATCAGCCCTTCCTACTCACTTCCTGTCTGGTACTCAGCATGAGCCGTGCATCAGTATTTGTCAGAACATTTTGACTTTTTGAATCTTACAAAATCTTACATTGTGAACTACTTTGTTGACTCATTAAAAGTTGATAGAGTTGAAAGTGTGTAGTAGGATGTTATTTATTATATCTACATATTAGAGTGGGGCAAACCCTGAGATGATACACTCAAAATCTCTTTGTTCAGTGTCGGTCATGTGTGGCAGATGCTATCTGTGAGGGCGGTATAGAAGCTGGGAAACCGCAGTCATGACTAAGCTGATAGCAGTTATTCGCACACTGGGGGAGTGAGATGTCAACTTAACCCACAAAAACTCCACAATTTCCCCATTTTCTTCTAACCTGTAGGCATCTTTTCTTTAAAAGGTGACGCAGACAAACAAATGCGATGTCTGTGGAGTTCACTAGATGAGAAGACTAGGATTTCGGCTACTGTAGAATTTCCAGTGAATGTTTTGAGATCTAGTTCGTTTTAGATATTTTTGAGTTCTAGTTTTTATTTTCTGTTATTCATTATTCTCCATTTGGGTAGTTGGATTGACATGTCAAGCAGTAAAAGTGGAGACATGCTATACATCTAAAACTGCTTTTAATTCTTATAATCATCACAGATAGATTTCTTCATGACTGATTGGCAGCTTTAAGCAGTGACATCAAAGATAGAAGGCAGGAAGTACATTCTAAAGCACTTCCTGTTTTCTATCTTTGGTATGTCTCAGTTGCTCTGTAGAACTTCAACTGAATGTATTAAACTGATTAGTACAGTAAGAACGCAACTGTGTAAAGAGCAAATTAAAGCCCAAATATCATACATTTTTTGACAAAAAATATATATATATATATATTTATCTTATTTAGTTTCAGTAGGCTTTTTAAAGATTTTTTGTAAATATATTACCAAGTCTGTAAACAGGATGTTAACAGAGGCCAGAGACAAGATGCACTGAAGACGGACACGAAGAGGACAAGCAAAGAAAATACTGTACCAGACAGAGCAAATTCATTGGTTGCCATGCTCGAAATACTGGAAGAAAATCAGTGCATCCTTAACTGGAATACTGTTAGACCTACCCGAAAAACTTTCAAGGTTCATTTCATTTTATCTTTGAACTATAGTATCAATTTGTGTTTGTTAAATGGTTATCATTTATTACAATACAAGGTTACGGTCAACAATGAAAACAATAAGTCTATTTGATTGATTGATTGATTGATTGATTGATTGATTGATTGATTGATTGATTGATTGATTGATTGATTGATTGATTGATTG